GGGTCAAATGATGCAAATCTATTTGATACGTCGGGGTCGTCCCAACCATACCCTCCTCCACAACTCAACACACAGAGACCGGACACACCACAGCAACCTCGTCGCAATGCACGTCCCCTACAATGTGGCACCGGTGGTCACTTGGATAGAGCCGGTCATTAGTTTTTTTCTTTTGTTAAATTGTAATTGTACTTTTCATTAGATTCTAAATTAATATAATTTGTTATTTCTATATTTTATTTTAACATTCTATACCCTAATTTTTTCTTAGTTTATTTAAATTTCAATTAAAAATAAGATATTTAAAATAAAGTATTTAAAAAATTGAATAAAACATTATTAATCAATTATTAAAATTTATTAAAAACTAATAAAAATATAAACGAAGCAAAAATGATTTTGGAAACCCTAGCATGCACTGATTCGCCAATCAGGATGGCGCATGGATTCCACTTTCAACTCATTCGCCAATTGATATGACGAATTCATCTTCCCCAAAATCAACTTTCAACTCATTCGCCATTTCAAATGGCGACCCAAGGTTGGTTTGTTAGCTATTTTGGACAATTTTTTGAATACTGTGTTATTTTGGTAAATTAAATTCAATACTTGGTTATCTTAAAAAAAATTCGTTAATCAACATCTCACTTAGGGTATGTTGTTTTGTTTTTTTTTTAAATAATATTTATAATCTAATAAAATTGTGTGTAAAAAAAATTTACAAAAAAACTTTTTATAAAATCTTTAAATAAAAATTTGATTTGAATAGTTATTTTAGATATTTTATCATTTCATTAAAATTATTTCAAATAATTTTTGAGATATAATATTTTTTTAAAAATTCAATCTCAACTATATTTTAATTTTTAATAATACATGTTTATATTATTGAATATTAAAATTAATTTTTCAATTTAAAAAAAACTAATATAAAAAAATTTATAATATTTTTAGAAACAATTTTACAAAATCAATTTTTAAAAATAAAAATAAAAAAAATTTAAAGCTGAAACAAACATACCCTTTAAAAAATTCTAATTATTAAAGTAATATACTCAAAATAAACGTGTCTATAACTATTCTTTTTCCTCTTTCTCGTTCTTAACGTGTGTACTAAATGGTACTGTTGTAAAATTGACGAGTGTGACACTCACGCGGTAATGCAATATAGTCCATTCAAAATGTCGGAAACTAGATAAGGAGTAAAAATTCAATTTTATAGTATGTTTTTCTGAGTTTTGTAAAAATGAGAAATGTATGCATAATTTATCCTCTTCGTTTTAAAAATGAGATTAATTATTATGTTACTGTACGTTTAAAAAATTTATATTGTCAATTAATTACTATTATTCGTTTGTATTATTTTATAGATGATTAAAATAAAAGTTAAAGTTTTTTTAATATTTAATGTCTATAATTAATTAACTATGTGAACCTTCTTACGTTGTTAGTGTATTTTAATTAAAATTTTAAAAAATATACAGTAATTTTATGTATTTTTCAAAATTATTGAATTAACCCTTATTATTTTTCAAATATTTAACATTGAAAACTAATTATACAAATTAACAAAGTATGTTAAAAGGGTCTAAGTTCTTTTTATAAGCAATGAGAATTGTACTAAAATCAAACGTCAGGGTTGCTTAACCCTAAAACAAACGGAAGAAAGTAACCCGAAACAAACTCTTTCAACAAAGAACCAAGAATTATAAAAATACTAAGCAAACAAAATTAAAGGATTAGAGAACCATGCAATATTACCAATGTTAAAAGGACTTAAATGCCTAGCCCCTAACCAATCCTAAGATTTTTTGAAAGCAATACAATGTCTTCCACTCCTTTGCGCCCTCTTTGAACAAGATTTCATTCCTTAAATGAGAAAAATTGACCACATAGTTGACATCCAAAATAAAAAATTTGAATCACTCGTGGAAAAATACTTTCTTAGCAGAGGTTTTTAAGTCAGTTCATCAATAATCCGACTTAAGAAACCACGCGGTGGCAAATTCGTAAATATTTGAAACTTTGTTATGTCGGGTCTACGTTTAACCGACCTACAAAGATTAAATAAAAAAAATATATAATTTTCATTAAATTTCTTAAGTCGGTTCTTTTAATGAAATGACTTAAGAAATTTATTTATTAAGTCAGATGTTTATTACCTGACCTATGAAGGTCTTATAAGACTCCGGTTCGATTCTTACCTAATACATTCTAGTGAAATAAACATTATTTAATACTTAGTTAATAAATTTTAATTAAAATAATTTCTGATAACACAATGACCTTTCTCTTTCTCTTTCTGCGCGCAGCTTTCTTCTCTAAGTTTTTGATACTGCGAAAATTTTCACCACAACTTCTTGTTCTCTCAATCTTTCACCACAACTTCCGTTTTCAGATTTGACCATTCTCTCAATCTTTCACCAATCGCCACTGTCACCATACTCACTTTCTCCAGGTTCTCTCTTCTCTCTGCGTTTTGAAATGTTAGGTTTTGAATTTTCAATGAATACATTGTAAATAGTATTTCGTGTTTTCAAATTTGAAGCAGGGTTTAGGTGATACTAAATTGTTGGAGGTTTTGGTGATACTAGCAAAGGCTTTGAACTCTGCAGATTAGGTATGTTTTCATGATTATTCATGTATGGTGGTTCAGTTTCTTTGAATGTTTGATGGAGTATTGATGAAATGTTGTTGTTAAATTGAAGATGGAATTGATTTGAATTTTAGTTTGGGTAGGTTTTCTAACTGGTATAGTTTTTCCTCTATTCTGCTGCTTGAGTTTTGATAGTGTTAGCAAGACAAAGCACACCATAATATGGTTTTCAGGAATCAAATCCGCAGCGGCCGCAACCTTACAGTTCAGGATTGAAATTCCTGTGTTTTGGTTAGGATCTTCTCTGCCCTGAGCAGTGAATAGGTTCTTTTGGTTTGGATCGGGTTTGCGCGCGTATAGGTTGCCGTTTTGAAAAACTACGACCGCGTTGCCAAAGATGAAGTCTACCGTGCCATAAACATCGCATTTGCGGTAGAATTGGCGGAGGGAGTGGACGTAGAGAGTGTCTTGGTATGCCACGCTACTATGCCTATTTCACCAAACTACAAAACCTGTCCAAAATAGGCAAAGGAACAAAATAATTGAGTATATGAATAAAATTATGCTGAATTTTATTGACTTAAAAAGCTAGTAACTGGCATACATTGGCATTTCAAAGAACCCTACAGATGTAACCACCAAAAGCAAAATTGTAGGATGGCCAAATATACAACAATAACAACAAAAGTAATTTAGTAATTATAAACTATGGTTTTGCAAGAGTATTTGAATTGAATAGGCTATCTCTATCTAAATGGAACACAATCTCTTCAATTCAATTCTGTTATTCACAACTACTAGTCACTTCACTTCACTGATCCTGCTTTACCTTAAACCGCTTCCGCTTGTATACCAGCAAATTCTCAGGCCAAACCTTCCCTGCCTGTGCTCCAGCCGCCTTCTTACTCACGCCAGAATTGTCCTTGTGCTTCAAGTCATCTTTTGAAGAATTTTCAACTGGCATTTCCTCCATTTCTTGGGTTGGAGGATCAGTGATCAGCTGAAGAAGTTCCATAGGTGTAGAAGCAGGATCCAGCTCCAGGAAACCTTTAGGAGCATTTTCACCTTCTTCTTCGGTAAGCAAGTATGAAGGTACCTGGTGTGAAAAGCGAAACATCTCTTCCCTTGGAATGTTCCTGACTTTTCTCGGGTCAGCATTCTGACGGAACACTGTCTTGAAACCTGCAACCTTGGAAAGTGGAGCAACATTCAGACCGTGCTCTTCACTGTAGTCGTCAAGCACTTCCACCATTTCATATTGATGTATGACATTATCTTTAGTAAGTTCATCCTAATCAGGGGACCAGTTCTGATATAGAGCCCAAACATCCCCTTTTTTTTAGATATACATGGAAAATTCCTTTGGGACCTTTTGTCCACTTGACCCTGTGAGAGAAAGAATTTAGAGTGCTGCTGATTACACGCTTGCCTAATCGAAGATCCCCGGTGGTCTTTGGAAAGCCAGAACCGACCCACTTTATCGGTGCAAATTCATCATTGGTTTTAGAGCTTAGCCAGGTTATCTTCATTTGGAATGGATTCTTTGAGATCACACTGTGGATAAAGGCATAGTAGCGTGGCATTCCGTCTTCATCTTAAATTTGTGTTTTCAATAACTTTGGAGATTTAAAATATAGGGATATTGAATTACAACAATTTAATTATTTTCATTGCAAAATCATTTGTTTGGATTTTTATCCTTACACATACTGTTGAATAATTGGAAGTTGCTAAATATTCTGAATGCAAATTTGTCCTGGTCCTCATCATAGAGGAATCTCAATATGAACTCTGTTTAGGGAACTCTGAATGTATAAGCTTATATTTAGGGAGTTGTTTGTTTGAGAATCTCTCTTTTTTTATTTGGAGTGTGTGACAGTAAAAAACAAGGGGCACATTTTGATCTAAATAAATGTTACTAGTGTACAAAGTAACTATAAAATTAAAGTGCATTTTGTGATTCTTTAATATTGACACATGATGGGCACAGAAAAGGAAAAGAGGTCACTGATGTGTGTTGTTTATGTCCATTTTTTTCTTTCCATATTTGAGGCTAAATCAGAGTCATTTATGTATGTGGTGTCCATGCTACAGTTTAATAGAATGAGAAATGGACGTTTTGTTAGATAGGGTACATATTGCATTTCTGTCTAACATGTTGCATTGTCAAATTTAATTCCCTAGTCTAGAGAATCATGCTTTCACGCAATTGAAATATTTATGCTTTATCGATAAATATCTGATTTGTTTTTGTTTTTTAATTTCTATATACTAGGATATGGTCATGTGAGAGTTTGATACATACATGTTAGTTAATTACTATATACTAGTTGAACTTTTTTTTACCGTAACTCTTTCATTTCAACATAAATTAGAGAATCCTATCTACTCCAACTCATATCATATGGATGCATTAGGTTCAGAATGCAGTAGTGGTTGTGAGTCTGGTTGGACTCTATACCTTGACCACTCTTTCCATACCTCCTCACAATCACATACACCTTCTCTTGACCAAACTAAACACATAAAGGTTCAATATGATGAACAAGAGGACTCGTCCATGGTTTCTGATGCTTCTTCTGGGCCTCCGCACCGTGACTATTCTCCATCCAAGCCCGCAAAACTTGCCAAGAGAAGTAAAAAGAGACAGAAAGTTAAAGAAAATACATTACAGCCTACGGTGCCGCCATGGTGGGCATCGCATCACTACTGTCCTGTATTGTGACAGTATTGGGTGTACCTTATTTTTATCAATGAAACAGTACAATGAAACCATTAAACTAGTATTGTCCTGTAACCATATACTAGTACTGTCCTGTAACCATTAAACTAGTTTCTATCAATGAAACAATACAATGATTTAGCTGTACCTTATTTTTAGTAAGCTCACTTCTTACCACCATGACATAGCCCTGTCAGCAAGCTCACTTATTTTTAGTTGTACCTTACTTCTTTCCATTTTTTTCTTTTTCAGAAATAGTCATGGATCGTAGTTGGATGAAAGCTAATCGTTTAGGTGCAGAATACGATAAAGGAATGGAAGCATTTTTTCAATATGCTCGTGAAAAACTTCCTAATAATAATAAGTTTTATTGTCCATGTGTTAATTGTTTGAATAGAGAGCTGCCACTTTTAATAGATGAAATAAGAAATCATCTTGTTGTGAGGGCATTTGCCAAAGTTATACCAATTGGATCCGGGTTTCACTCATAGTCAAAATGAGTGTGGTAGTGTTCAGTCCTACATACAAAAGAAGATGTGTGATGATACAAAAGAATGTTACTTTACTCCTTATTTTAACAAGTAAGAATTTTCTCTTGTTATAGTCAAAACGACTGTATGTCAATCACTTATAGTCAATCACTTATTGTATTTTGTTCTTGTAGTCATCATTGGCAGTTGTTCATCATTAATCCTAAGAAGTTTGAAGTAGCCTTTCTATGTTCTTTGGGAAAGAAGCCAGATAAAAAAATTTATGACGTTATTGTATTGTAAGTCTATACTACACTTGTCAATTGATTCAACTTGTAAGTAAATAGTATAAAAGTGAAGTAGTAATATTATTATAGTATGATTTTTAGTTTCTTGTTTCTGTTGCAAATTTATCAAATGATTTATGGTTCTAAAAAAAATGTAAGTATCTTATTTATTTTGTTAATTATAAATAATTGTAGAGCTTTGGGAGCTTATAATAAGTTACAACGTGTGAGAAAGCAGAAGAATGTAGAATGGTTTTATCCCACTATAAGTAATTGTTTACTTTACATATAAATGAATAATTCCATATATATATATATATATATATATATATATATATATATATATATATATATATATATATATATATATATATATATATATATATATATATATATATATATATATATATATATATATATATATATATATATATATATATATATATATATATATATATATATATATATATATATATATTCTATAATAATTTTTGAGTAATATCTATTGACTAGACGTTCACATTTGATAATAAATTTTAGAGTCAAAAGCAACAAGTTAGTTATGAGTGCGGCTATTACATCATGGCTCACATGTTGAACATTATATCTGCTACTGTTGTTGGTTCATGGACACATGTAAGTAATATAATATTTTTATCAAGTTGTATCAATTAATTAAAAAAAATTATGTTGATATATTAATTTAATTTTATGTCAATGTTTATTTATTTAGATATTTCAGGATTCAAATCCATTACAAAAAGAAGAAGTTAAAAATGTTCAAGAACTTTGTGCAAACATGATATTGGAACATATTGAAGAAAGTACAAACAATGATATAAATTAGGTGCAATTCTGTGTTGGATTTTGGCTGTTGGCTGTTCAGAAGATGATATGATTTTTTAAGGCCAATATTTAAGGTTTCTTATTTTGATGATGTTTTGATAAGTACGTACTTGGTGCTTTAGAATTAACATGCACCTGTTTGTTTGTGTATTAGTATTATTAATATACGTAATTGTGTTTATAAGTTATTGGTATATTTTATTTGATAATTAGGAGTTTTACTGTGATCTGTGTTGTGTGTTTTTTTTTTGTAATTTGTTGATTGAGTTGGATAGTCTGATTTGAAGGTAAATTATTAAATGGAAAAACTGCATTTGATGGGGTAAATTATTAAATGGAAAAACTGCATTTGATTTGTGTGATTATCCACAAAAAAAAAACTTCTTAGGTCGGTTAAGTTATACCCGATTTAAGAAAGTAAGTTCTTAGGTCGGGTATAAATGATTTCTGCAGGCTAGACTTATTAAGTCGGGTACTGCCTAACCGACCTAATAACAATTTGTTAAGTCAGGTCCACAACCGACTTAAGAAGTCAAAACTTCTTATGTCAGCAGTTCTTAGGTCGGGCTCGGACCCGACTTAAAAAGTCAATTTTAACCGACTTAAAAAACCTTTTTTCCACTAGTGAATCTCTTGACACTCCTCCTTTCATCATCACATTAAAGAAAAATATATGGTACCATGGATTCAATGTTTGTTATCGAAGACACGTCAAACAACCTGAAAATAGAACTCCACACAGAAACTGAAATGGAGCAATAAAGAAAAAGATGAAGATGAAATTCCTTAGGCCCAAACACAGCAGATACACAAGATCATGTTGCCCCGAAACTACTACATGTTTGGCTAACACATCTCTTGTTTTTAATCTGTTAACAATCAATCTCCAATAAAAAATATGAATATTGCTATGTAAATTAGACGACCAAAGAAATTTAAACACTTTAGCCTTATTCTCAACTAAATGACCATCATTACTACGTAAACCTGCAAGAAATTTAAACACTTTAGCCTTATTCTCAACTAATTGAAACCTCATGAGCATCTCGCTACCATACAAACATGTCAACAGGTATATAGAAGTGAAGATATGTTGATTAAGATACCGCGAAGCTCCATAAAATCAGACCATGTAGAATCAGTGAATCTGGTAGAAGGATCAATGTTCAAAACCCATTTGTCACTATGCCAAAAAAGACTTTTAGCAGCGTCTTTTTTGGCCTTTAGCAGCACTTAAAAGCGCTGCCTAAAGTGGCGCTGATGTAGGTAAAGACAACGCTTTTTTAAGGCAAAAGCGCTACTAAAGGTCTCCTTTAGGCAGCGCTTCTTTATAAAAGCGCTCTCTAATGTTACCTTTAGTCAGCGCTTTTTCATGAAAAGCGCTCTTTTCCCCCCTCCCTTTAGCAGCGCTTTTGAAAAGCGTTGTCTAATGTATTGTTTCTTCGGATTTTTAGCAGCGCTTTTTAATGAAAAATGCTTTATTTTCCCCCCTTTAGGCAGCGCTTTTGAAAACACTTTTAAATGAAAAACGCTATCCCCCCCCCTCCCCCCTTTAGCCGCGCTTTTCAGAAGCGCTTTCTAATGTATATTTTGTTGAGATTTTAGCAGCGTTTTTTTGTAAAAGTGTTGCCTTAGATCCACTTTTGGCAGAACTTTTCTTAGAAAGCGCTTTCTTATATTCACGTTAATGAATGTTTTCAAAAGCACTTTTTAAAAAGAACTTCTTATGGAAGCATTTTTCGGTTAGAAGCGCTATCTATTGTGCATTTTTTAAGAAGCATTTTTTGTTAAAATCGTTGGCATAAGTCTTATTTTTTACTTATAAAATAGAACCACAAACCATATAGGCCTTATATATCTTTATAATTCAACACATAAACCTGCTTATAACCATTATAATTCAACACAAGCCTTTATTGCAACACATAGGCTATATACCATTATAATTCAGCACAACTTTATTTCAACACATAGTCCTTATATATATACCATTGAAATTCAACACATAGTCCTTATATATATATATATATATATATATATATATATATATATATATATATATATATATATATATATATATATATATATATATATATATATATATATATATATATATATATATATATATATATATATATATATATATATATATTTACCATTATAATTCAACACATAAACCTGCTTAATTCAACACAAACCTCATAACCATTATAATTCAACACATAAACCTGTTTAATTCAACAGAAACCTCATAACCATTATAATTTAGCACAAACCTCCATAATTCTAATAAAACATATCCACTTCCAAAACCTTTAACTTATAAATATTCATTATAAATAATTACAAGTTCCATCAACTCACAACAACTTCTAGAAGTATATATACAACAACTTGCAAAACTATACAACAACTTCCAGAACTATTCCTATTTAGTAGTACAGAACATCACAACAACTAAAATCTCTAAAGACCATAAACTTCACACAAAATAAAGAAATACAATATATACCTTATATAATACTCGTCTCAAGAATGTATTGACATTAATCCTCCTTAATTTCTTCCAGTTTATCTTTCGAGTAAGTAGCACACTTGAATTAATCAAAGTATTACATAATATAATATAATATAATATACATGATTTAGTTAAAACTAATTAATATTAGATGAAATATATATCCGCTAAATATTAAAATAAATCCTAACTTATAAATCCATATCGTGTTTGGAATCTCTATTTGACCCAAATGAAGAGTTTCCTTCATAAACCTCAATACAAAATAACCGCAATATATACCATTACGCTGACGAGGACACTACACATAAAAAAAAAGAAAATGAATATATATCATGATACATAATTTAACTTGTTTTATCAAGTAGAATCACTATTATAATCAAAATTGTGAAAATATATCTGCACTCTGATCCATGTAATGTTGTTTTCTTTACTCTTTGGTACTCGAGCTTGTCTCTGTGATCAGAATATTTGTGTTGATCTAACATGATATAAACGAATATTTAGAACAATCTCACATAAAAAATAAATATACACACGAATATTCATAACAATCTCATCACTTACGTATCAACCATCTTCTTCATATATGGGTATTTTGTTTGATCACCATCTATCAAATCCAGATAATATACTATTTCTCTTATCAGATTAATCGCAACCAACAACTAGTGTCCACTGCAAAATAATACTAAAGTTTAGATGGAAATTTTCTATACAACGGAAAAAAATGGATAATTATAATAAATGAAATTAGAATGAATGCTGACCCAAGGCCAGTATTATATGGCAAAAAATACAACTTTTCTGTATATCTGTTGGCCATAAATGCATCGACTAAGTAATTTTGGACTATATATGGACTTTGTTTGATTAACTGTATGTTGATACAGTTGGTAGATAAGAATGAGAATTTGTCTGTCAATTGACGTGGGAGCATCAATTTGTCATACAAGAACCTTAAATAAAAACATAATCAACATTAGAATATTCATTAAAATGAGTAAATAAATTGTCCAATTATTTAAACAAAACTAATCGGTGTATATGATGTATGAATGCATAACATCAATGTCTAATTCAGAATGTTGTAAAATCTGATCCAAATCCTCTTTAACAATTGTTTTGGTATAAGCAAACAAGAAAATACCTTCCTCCATAGGTATTTCACGAATACCACCTTCCATCACATATGTTGTTCCTACGTATGTTTCAAGGCACAACCTAAGTCGAGGAACAAATGCTTTTTTAGGCTCGGTCTTCACAAGTTTCTCTTTTTTGGACACATTGCTAAATTCAGGCATGATATTCTTGTTGAGTTGTTGCAACTCCTGAGCATGAATCTAAAAATCATATAAGTTAATTAG